ATTTTAATTTCTTAAAAACTATTTTTGAGCTACCTAGAGAGCTCAGATTTTGGCATATGATAACTTGTTTCGAATCTCTAGGTCTCTACTTTATTCAGAAACTAGAATGACACCCTTTAGATCTATGTGGAATGTTTTATGATCATTTCTGTCAGAAAATGTAAAATTTGCGTTCTTGGCATAACGCAAAAAGTGTGAACTTAGACCCCAACTTCTAGAACCAGGATCGTTGCACTTAAGACACTAATTATATCATTTAGTGTGCATCATTAGTGAGGTGTAGCACTTAGAATCGCTCTGTTTGGAATTTTGTAGGCCGAGATGTGCGTAGTTGAAATTTTGCTTAGAAACTTTTCAAAATGTCTTAAAAAGTTAAAGTTTTAGAATTTTAATTTCTTGTAAGAGGTGTTTGAAAGACTTAGAATATTTAAAATAGGGCATGTAATAGCTCGTTGGAAAGCTCTGGATGTCTATTTTCATTAGGAGCCAGTTTTCCACCCTTTGGAGACACATAGTACGGTCTGCACGTGTTTCCGTGACGGGCATCAGATAAGCCCATATGCGAAATTAAAGAACTGAGTGAATTGGATAATTCTTTTAGATAATCCGAGTCTGATTAAGTGGAGAACCTCCCTAAGTACTTAGCTTAAGGTCCTTGGCTAGATATTAGGAATCTAGAGCCTTTTGAGTACTGTACAAGAATCATGTTCGTGATGATTCTTGTTCAATAATTCTATAACCTTGTATAACCCTTCTCATTAGAAGTTGAAAGTTTAGACATATGTATAGAGATGAGGATTCACCCCGTTGATAGATGAGGAGCTGTTATCATACAAGAAATCACGATGAAGAAATTGTTAATGCCATTCATTTCCTTACAATGCATTGTTGTTGTCTTCACAAGTTTAACCGCTACCCAGGTTTTGTTCTAATTTCGATGATATAATCTTTTTCAGTGGGGCAGGCTTGTAACATCTGGTTAAATTAATGTGATTAATTAATCAAATTTGGTAGTTAGTGTTAATTAATCTGAGATTAGTGAAATATTCTCAGTTATAATTATCATGTAAATGACAATTCTCCTTTTAAAAGGATTGTTTTAAAATTGACAAGGCTGTCCCTCGAACAATTTTAAGTGTTGGTAACTAATTTTTCAAAACATGCATAATGGGTCATTCTATATTCTATTCAAATTGGACTTTGAAGTCTAATTATCAAATTTGTACAAAAAGCCCAAGCCCAATTTCATTTTTTTCCTTTTTTCTTTCTTTTTTTCTCCTTTTTTTCTCCTCTTTCCCTCCTACGTACACACTCTCTCTCCCTCTCCACGCCGGCCACCTACCACCGATGAGATTCCGGTGTCGTTTCGTGACACCACCCACACCTTCAAAAAGCTCTCGACGAGTTGGACTCGTTGACATGTCGCACGACGTCCATCTCCACCGGAAAAAGCCGCAATCGCCGACGAAATGTCCAAAAACTACCAAAACTTCTCGCCATCGTAGCTTTGTCGTCCGACCTCGGATCGGAGTGATTCCGGTCCCTATGGACTCAACTCGACAAGACGAACAAAACCCATGCCGTCTCACCCATCGATTCTCACTAGAACGCCATCGCATGAGCTACCCATTTTGGCCGCTGCGCCTCCTCTTCATTGTGCACTATTTCGGCCTCCGTTTTTGACACTGTCGGTGCCATTGGATTCAGAAGACGACGTAGAGCAAGAAGCAACCCCCAACCGCCTGAATCCGCAGCCGTTTACCAGAGATTGAAGCTCACCGCCGCCGCCGTTTGGGTGGAGGGTAGTTCTAATGATCCAACCATTAGATCGTCATGATTTTGGTGTCAAAACACTCAGAAGGAAGTGGGTAACAAAAGCCCTCAGCCAATTTTGAGGTTCCATTGCAGAGAATCGAGAACCAAGTCGCCAGATTTTGTTCACATTTTTGGGTTTGATCGGAGTAGATAGAGGCCGAATTTGGTAAAATTGACGACACCATTGAACTTAGAATGGTTAATTTAGTAGGGGTAGGACCCAAGTCTGCCGCAGAAATATGCTCCGGCAACCTCCGCCGTCGCTGGTGGCCAGATTCCGGCGTGTCTCAGTTCTTAAGGTTCCCGACGTCTGATCAAATATATGAGACCATATCCTAACTCGTTTCGACGTGCTGAACGCAACAGTGACCCCCGTTTATGCCAATTCGACTCCGTTAAAAAGTCTACCGAATAGTGCACACAGATCGAGACGAATTGAGTTGAGGTTCAGAGCGAGCTGTGGAGCTTCAAGAATAGACGGTTGGACAACGTAAAGTTAGCCGTAGATTAAAGTGCTAAGAGGTAGGATATTTTTGTCCATATCCTTGTTAGCCTTACTTTAAATGATTTTGGCTAATGAAAATGTTTTAGAACAAAACATGTTGAAAGAAAATGATTTTAAAGGAAATAGCATGAATAATGCTATTAAGTTTTCCAATGATTCTGGAAATGAGATTTTAAAAGTGCAAATATTTTAAGAAATGATAAAACGCATGGTGGCCTCAGAGATCGGGATATGAAAATCGTATCCTTAGGGGCAGGACCCAAAACCCGTACGGATCCACTTCTTGCTCAGTGGTGTTATGGCTCTGTATATTTTCATTATACATATATTTTACTACTACTACGTGAGTATTTCCTTTTTCTAAAAAGGATGATCGGTTCCGGGTGTATGTCTTCAGACCGTGAGTACCTTTATTTACAATGCTTAATAAAATTGTATGATCGGTTCCGGGTGTATGTCTTCGGACCGTGAGTACCTTTATTTACAATGTTTTAAAAATTGTATGATCGGTTCCGGGTGTATGTCTTCGGACCGTGAGTACCTTTATTTACAATGCTTACTAAAATTGTATGATCGGTTCCGGGTGTATGTCTTCGAACCGTGAGTACCTTTATTTACAATGCTTACTAAAATTGTATGATCGGTTCCGGGTGTATGTCTTCGAACCGTGAGTACCTTTATTTACAATGTTTTATAAAATTGTATGATCGGTTCCGGCTGTATGTCTTCGAACCGTGAGTACCTTTATTTACAATGTTTTATAAAATTGTATGATTGGTTCCGGGTGTATGTCTTCAGACCGTGAGTGTTTTTATTTATAATGTTTTATAAAATTATCTCCTACTGGGCCTTCCGTTGACTTTTATTCTGTTTTCAATGTTTTAAACCCTTTCTCCAGAGTTAGCGGTTTAGATTTACAGCTTGGCGAGTTGATCCTAATGGATTGAATGCGCGAGATACAAAGTGGTTAGTTTGTTTCAGGTTTACAGTTTTAATTCTAAGATGTACTGTATTTCTGTATATAAATTGTATTAGTCGACATTGTCCCAGAGTTGTACTGTTTATCTTGGACGTTATAGACTGTTTTAAATATTATTTGTAAAAGAAAGTCTTCGGAGCAAACTATATTGATATTTATGTATTTATTTTTGTGATTTTTGTTAAACAATCTAGTTTAATTAAGTTAAATTTTAAATTAAATCCCAATAATCACGGTCCCATCTTTGGGGTCGTGACAGAACACGACATGATCACTTTACTGGTTGACACGATACGACACGAAATGACTCGTGACGCGAAATTGACCCGTTAACCTGAAATTGTATACTTTTATTTAGTTTTTTATATATTATAAATAACTTAAAATTCATAACAGACTAAAATACAATAACATCTATTGAAATTAAGCAAATAATAGTATAAGATTTTGAGTATAATTATCATGATATCACAAGTTCATAATAAAATAAAAAATATGTAATGAAAAATATACATATTTTTTAGTTTTTGACGACTTTTGTGTCATGTTCGGATTAGGCGGGTCCAACCCGAAATTGACATGTGTTTTTTGTGTCAATTTCAGGTCGACTCAATTCTGACCCGTACGTCTTTTTTTTGAATTCTAACCCACGAAAATTATATCATTTTCGAGTCGTGTTGTCGTGTTGTGACTCATATTATGAGTCCTAATTTTTAACTTATCATTTTTTTAATAAAAGCAATTTAAGTCATCAATGTTCAACAGCATCAATTATTAATTTCTTCATTTTTTTTTTTTTAAAAGAGATGTATTTAAAGCTGGCATACAAATATGTTTTTTTTTTCTCATTTAAAAAAATGTATTTTTTTTTAAATAGCACGTGTTTTATAACGGCGCATCCACCAAATCCACAAGAACAATCACGAGTCATAGCAATAAATAAATAAATAATATTAAATATTAAATATAAAAATTAAAAAAAGAACCACGAGTCCACTATCGCTAGTTGCTACAATCGATCCGTGCCAGAAGTCAATCCCCAGTCCCACACTACCGGAACAAAAAAAAAAAGAAAAAGAAAAAAACACTCCTTTTCCCTCTGTCGCATTCTCTCTCCACGTGGAACCGCATCTTAATCCCAACCTCAACTCTTCTCCTCTTGCCACAACTACCACCACTCGCCTTCCACGACGACGTTTCATGCGTTTCTCTTCTCACCCAAAGAAACGGAAAACAACAAACCAAAAAGAAAGATAAAAAAAAAAACGCAATTAGCAAATCGCACCCGTTTTTTTTGGGACTTGGGAGGGAATTGAATTCTCTTTTATCTTTCGAATAATGGATCTGAGAGGGAATAATAAGAATATGTACTGAAAACACACTTGAAAAAAATAATAATAATAAAGAAAGCTGTGATTTTAGATGTTCTCGGCTGCAGCAGCATGTGCATTGCCAAGTTGTTGTAATCCCATTCGCAATTCCTTTATCGTAAATCCGGAATCGGATTCCCGCTCCGTGTTAATTCCACCACCTTCTCGGATTCCGAAATGTCTATTTAATTCCAACATGCGAATTCCCAAGAAACCCGTTTCCTTTTGCCTCTCCTTGTTCTCGCCCGAGTTCTTCCCTCCAAATTTCTCCTCGTCTTCTCGGATTCGCCTCATCTCCGGGAACTTCGGCCATTCCGATAGTTGTTTGCGGTTCGCTTCACAGGTTTGTGTTTTCACATCGTTAAACAAACAAGAATTGTTAATGCAGATTGAAACGGAATCTCTCGCTTGTTTCGTGTGAGTTTGTTTAGGAATCGTTTTTGGGTTTAGTCGGTTTGGAAATGATATTAGGGCGTGGGATTTGATTTTGATGATCAGATTTGTAGTAATATGAGAAATTGGATACATTTTTAGGTGTTTCTTGGAGCGTAGCTTGGAAGTTTTGTTAGACTTGGGAACTTAGCCGTTTGCTCCACCGGTAAGAAAGGTGTCGAAAGGTTTTTAATTTTATTGGGGAGGTTATCTTTTTCTGTTTTGAACTTTATTGTTTCTTTTTCTTTTATTATTATTGTTATTATTATTATTGTTATTATTATTATTATTATTATTATTATTATTATTATTATTATTTCGTAGCAAAGAAGTAGTGTCTTGGGAATTCTTTAGAAGGGGTCAGATGAAAATTCAGGGAAAACAAGGATTTGGGACTCTAGTTGAAACTATGGCGAACTGCTTTCTGTGGGCACTGTTTGCGTGACGTATTCGATTGGCTTTTCGTATGGATTTGGAATGTTTGTAGTGTATTGTTCCTTTTGGTTAATTTTAGCAAATTGTATAAAGTATAAACTCTTTGATTGATCGTGTTATTCTTTTGCACCGTATTGGAGCAAATCAGGAGCTAGACAGTTGCACGCGAGTTATTATTCAATGGAGGAGACTCATGGGACTGTTGTGAGTAACAACAACTCATCTCGGCATTTGCGTATGGATTTCAGCCATGGTAGTCAGGAGCCATGCATATGGTCATCTCCCGAAGGGGGACATGTTATGGATATCGGGAAGCATATCTTTTGCAACCGATCGCTGAATATGAAGAACATTGTGGCTGTTGGATTTGACATGGATTACACTTTGGCTCAGTACAAGCCAGAAACGTTTGAGTCCCTTGCATATGAAGGCACTATCAGAAAATTGGTGTATGATTTGGGTTACCCTCGTGAGGTTAGTCTGCTTTCCCATCTTTCAGGTCCTGAAAAATTTATTGTTTTCATCATTCTGTGACAAATGTTTCTTAATGATATTTTGGTGGCATTCACCTCAATTGATCTTGTATAACTTTCTTGGGTCGTATATATGTTTTTGGCTTTTTGAGTTTGTGCTATATATTGTAGGTTGATTAAGTGTTGGTTCATGCAGTTGCTAAATTGGTCATTCGATTGGAAGTACATGGTCAGAGGCTTGGTTCTTGACAAAAAAAGAGGCAACATATTGAAGGTTACCTCAATTTCTTTTCTTTTCTTTTTTTTTTTTCTTTTTTTTTTCAGATGATTTTGTTTATCATTAATCTACCTTATGTTGGATTTCATTTTATGTTCTTTCTTTCTTGCTATATCCTGCGTCTTATGGTTGTGCAGATGGATAGGCATAAGTATGTGAAAGTAGCTTACCATGGATTTAAAGAATTGTCTAAGGAAGAAAAAGTTTGCACTTATGGAAATACTTTGATACGGGATGCTTTTGATGAGCCTGATTATGCTCTTATTGATACCCTTTTTTCACTAGCTGAAGCTTACTTGTTTGCTCAACTGGTTGACTTGAGGGACAATAATCCTGGAAACTTTCCAGACAGTACAGAGTAAGAACATAATATGCTACTTTTAGTTTCAGGTGCTTTTTTTCCATGATTTATGATTTTTTGTACATATATTGTTTATTAATTAGTATTGATTTGTGAAATGTTTCTCCAGCTATGCCAGTATGTACAAAGATGTTAGAGCAGCAGTTGATTTGTGCCATCGTGATGGAACTCTAAAGCAAATGGTTGCAAAAGATCCCAAAAGGTAAGAAATTGCAAGCAATGATATTTTGACTTCACGGAAATTAAATTTTCAATAATTGGAGACGCCTTATTAGCTTCCTATAGAAAGGAAATTAATTGATTGGGTTTCTTGGATTTTCTTTTCTATTTTGGTGAAGGGTAAGAAAACTTCATATATAGTAGGGTTTTTTTTTATTATTATATTTAAATCATCGACTATGCAAAAGGTTCAACAACTTCAACAAAGTAGTAAAAAGAAAAATGTGCCGTTTGCCAAATGGTATATGTTCCAAAAATTATTGGTTTGACTCCGCACCAGGTATATCAATGAAGACCCCTCTATAGTACCCATGCTTAAAATGCTTAGAGATTCTGGTCGTTCGACATTCTTGGTGACAAACAGGTATAAACCAATTTTGTAATAATATACTCTGTTTCTATGAACATAATTGAAACGTATATTCATATGCTTTTGGGATTGTATCTACAGTTTCTGGGACTACACAAACATCGTGATGAATTTTCTTTGTACATCCCGAACGGTAGATGGTACTAGAAAATGCAATTTTGATTGGCTTCAGCACTTTGATGTTGTCATTACTGGCAGGTCATTTTCTTTTCGTTAACTTCTTAACTGTAATTCTGCTACATAATTTGTAAAGTTTTTTTGACATGCTATCTAAATTTTCTAAATATGTTCTATTCAACATTCGACTGGAGTTCAGTAGTATCAATTCCTAGACAGTAAATGGCTTCCCGCTTCTGTATCTTTATTTCCTTCCTTTCAGGCAGCTCTTGCTTCTAAGGTTTACGTTATTATTTTTTGCTTAGCACTGTTACTTCTCTGATCATAAAAAATGATGTTACAGTGCAAAGCCTGGTTTCTTTCATGACGATAGTCGTGCCAATCTGTTTGAGGTTGAACCAAAGTCTGGGATGTTAATTAATACTGATAATGGCTCTCCTATGCCTCAGGTTGGTATAAAGATGTTGTCAAATGTCAATTATTGATTCACCGGTCCTCCTACAGGTACAGAGTACACTCTTCTTTTAGTTGCTTTCACTAATAATTTTTTATTTTTACAACAAGGTGGGAGACATTTCGCCTAGCTCATCACTGAAGGCACGAAATGAGTCGTGTAGAGTTTTTCAGGTGACTCTTTTGATTACATAACTACATTTCTGTGCACATCTAAATTAATTGACTCATTATTCACCAAAAAAAAAATAATAATTGAATTGCGCATGGCATCTTCAAATTTTTGATGGGAACTTGCTCTTTCAAAGTTTTCTTATATGACTTTCTTTTGAACTACTTATTCAGGGAGGAAATGTCGGTCATCTGCATAAATTACTTTCAATTGAGTCAAGCTCGCAGGTGAACTATTCTATAATATAATATATATATATATATATATATTAATTTGCAGTGATCTTCCTCTAATATTTTATATTTTACTTCTTAAGCCCTTATTTCATTAATGTAACTTTTTGTAGGTTCTCTATGTTGGGGACCATATATACGGTGATATTTTACGCAGCAAAAAAGTTCTCGGTACTAATTCTTTTTTGCCTTTTTCTTCCTCTTATTATTGCTAATTTTTCTGTATTTGTGCAACCCCATCACGTGATTTATATCATGACACTTAAAAATATATTAATTGAGGGACATGCATCAGTTACAACAGCGACTATGTTTTTCACAAAAGATGTTTTTTTTTTCATTTAATTATTCTTTTGCTTTCAGATTTTCTCTTTACGAATTTTCATTTTTGTTTTATGCCATTATGAGCAGGGTGGAGAACAATGCTTGTTGTCCCGGAGCTAGAGAGAGAGGTTGAACTACTTTGGAAATTGAGAGACACCCGCAAGGTGTTTGCCGAGCTTATTTTTGATCTAGTGTTTTATTATAATATTAAAACATAAAAACAACATTTATGGTTGGCATATGTTTTAGGTTCAAAATGAACTTACATTGTCCCCTAAAATAAATAAATAAAATAAAATAAAGAACTTAAATTGAGTTATTTGATACAGCAACTTCGCTTGTTGAGGAATCAACGTGATCTCATTGAAGACAAAATTCATCACTTGAAATGGTCTCTCAAGTAAGTATATACCTGTATTATCCCTCTGCCTGATTATTTACTTTGATCAGAATTTGATTTACATGCAAGTGGCATTCTGCTGTTCAGATTTGATGATATCAGTCCAAGGGAGAAGCAAAAGTTATCGTCTGAACTAGATGCTTTAGAGGTTAGGCAATCACTTGAAAATCGTAATAGAATGGATGTTCATAAAATACTTCTCTGATTCCTTTTGCTTTTACAGTCTCAAAGGGAGCAAGTGCGCTTAAGTCATCAAGAGGCTCAACGAGAGAATCACCAGAAGGTAGAGATTTTACACAAGACATACAATATTTTACTGAGTACGTTTAACACATTTCTAGTATTTAACTTGTTTTGTTTGACACAAATTGCAGTTCCATAAGGTCTGGGGGCAACTCATGAAGACTGGTTATCAAAACTCCCGCTTTGCACATCAGGTAAGATGTTGACGAGACATACCATAAGCTTTATTAGTTGAGAAATCTGGGGTCTTTATTTATTTTTAATTCTTTTTTTCCTCCCTTGCAATGAAGAAAAGGGGGATTATTGGTCCCATTCTTCCAATTCCTGTCGTCATTTTGGAAATCCCGAGGCCTGAGAACCAGAATGGAAAAGGCCTGATTGAATTCCACTCAAAAGATTGGGCCCGGTTTTTCACTTTTTATTTATATCACTACACCCAACGCCGCACAACACATTAGCCGGGCAGGGATCTAAGCCCTGAGTGCCATCCTGGGAGGAGAAGAAGAGGCTTTTTCTCTTACTGTTGCACCAACCTATTGGTTGCGTCCGGGGATCATTTTAGTACTCATATTCAGAATTGTCTGTCCCATGCTTATCTCAGAGTGATTCATCACCCGTAGGTTCACTCGTACAGGATGTATAAGCTAAGATATCATTATTGTTATGCATGGCTATGGGTCATTTATACTATCATTAGTGTTTTCTTTTCGGGTTCTCTGATCACGTTAAGCCGTCAATTGCGTCTCTTTCTTGGTTTATATTTTCATTTATTTATTTTATTTGCCTAGTCACTTTTTTCTTGGTTATTTACTTAAACGGCAATCATGCAGGTTGAGAGATTTGCCTGCCTGTATACCAGCCAAGTATCCAACTTAAGCTTGTATTCCCCGGATAAATACTACAGACCTAGTGAAGACTTCATGCCACACGAATTTGACATCATCCCCATGTGAGGATAGGAAAGCCTAATTGGAAAGAAATAAAATCATAGCGTTCTTTAACCTTGTCGTCTTCAATGAAATTTCCTGACAACTCCCAAGGTTGTAAAGGAAACAGTCATAGAGAGAAATGTCCATAGTTGTGGTTCTTTAATCAAGGCTGAAATGAAGGGCAAAGTTTCCCTTTACAATTTACATGTAACAAGGAATTTCATTTCTCATTATGACGTTATATTTGGGCAGCATGATATTAATGCTTTTGTAGGCCTTGTATCACATCTATGACATAGATAACTTGTCTTCCACCCATTAACTCCTGTTTTACAGAATATCATTTCGGGGTTCAATATCAAGTTTGGATCTTATTAATTGCTATACAGTGAAACGTTTTCAGTGTGGCCCAAAGGGGGCCATTGATCCATCATCTTACACGGCTCAGAAATCTCTGCAGCCGCCATTGATCTTATTAATTGCTATACAGTGAAACGTTTTCAGTGTGGCCCAAAGGGGGCCATTGATCCATCATCTTACACGGCTCAGAAATCTCTGCACCCCCCTTTTTTTTTTTTTTTTCAAAAAAAAAAAAAAAAAAAGGATTCTCAAGTCTCAACTAGTAACAAGAAGAATCACACCATTCTACTGCTTTTCTAAAGTATGGAATCTAATTCCAAACAGCAATCACACCGCAAATTGGAAACAAGCTTTCTTTTTAAACTTGCAAGAACTTGCTTTTTAACTTACTAGAGCAACTTGCTTGCCAAGAATCCAATTGAGTCCCCAAAAATCACAGCATGGCTGGAAAAAGGGTGGGTCAACTGGTTGTGTGAGCTGTAGCACTCAATCACTCACAAGAAGCACTCTTTGTATTTTCTAATGCTCACTTTGTCTCTCCAAGTCTTGCCCTTCAACTGGTTCAGGGAAAATCTCACTGGACGACCTTTTATTCGAAGAGGAGTGCTCGTTATTACCTCCGGTACTGCTCTGAGATCCCACTCTCCCGGACTGTTTAAGGCTGCTTATATTCTCCCTGATATTCTCCGACGAGCTGTGTCGCCAGCTTCCAAGGAAAGCCATGCTCCAAGACAGTCTAGATGATGTTGTCCGCAGCCTTGCAGAGCTTGAACTCTCCACTCTCACCACCTTCAGAGGGTTTTCCAATGCTCGGAGGATGTGTTTCATGTGGGGTCGTTTCGAAGGCTTCGGGTTGAGGCATGTCCTGGCCACAATCGCCATGGCCCATACCTCTTCCAATAGATCTTCGTCTACAATAAGAGATGGGTCGACAATCTTATTGATGAGTTCTTTGTCATATATGCTGACATAACGCAGTGTGTGCTCCAACCATTCTCTTGTAGTAGCATCATCCACTTTGCTGATATCGAGCTTGCCCGTCACAAGCTCAAGTAAAACCTTTCCGAAACAATATACGTCATGAGCGCAAGTTGCCAATGGGGGGGCTGAACATTTCCAAATAAAAGAAACCAGAAAGGAGTGTCGTTAGAATTATTAGTTGTCATACTTTTCTCAAAGGCCTAGAATAGATGAGACGTGAGTGATAAATGGAGGAGTAATATATTTGAATGAAAAAAAATGTTAAAAAAAGACTTCCACACAAGTAAAGCGGAGATACGCACCAAAAAGGCCTTGTTCAGAGCTCCTGCATAATACCAATGAAACGTAATTGTAAGTCTAGCATAGTATTGAAGATATTAATGTGAAATATTGATGTGAAAAGCTTAAAGAAAACTCTGAAGTACTACAAAGAACAAGCTTAACTATATTCTTTAAACTCATACATAGTGAAAGCCAGGGAGCAACAAAAACTTACTGTGGCTTCCTCAAAAACCTCGTGATGACATTTTGGTTAGCATCCCCTTCTTGGGCCTGGGCCTCACTCAAGCTTCCAAGACGCACCTCAAATTTATCATCCAGAAGGATGCTGCTTGCTTGAACATCCCTTTAAAGACCAAGTAAAATTATGCAATCATTATTTGCACACCACCCAAAAAATAAAAAAAAGAACAGAAACCCAAGAAAGAATGATAAAAACAGGCGGCAACTAGACATAAAATAGAATTTGAAAATGCAAAATCCTCAACAATAATTATAACGAAAATAGTAAAAAATATGCCAATATAAAAAGCTTAAAAAAATATATAGATTAATTTTTAGTTATAGAAATTAATAGGGCCATAATTTGTCAAGTTATGGTTCATAATCAGATAAGTTATGGACAAATTTATCAAGTTATGGTTCATAGCCAGACAAATTATGAATAAAAACCGTGAATTATGGACAATAACTTGTCAAGTTATGGTTCATAACCAGACAAGTTATGAACAAAGACAGTAATTTAACCTATTTATTAACTTATGTAAACTATTGACCTATTAATTTTAATTCATCTCAAGTTTTAGCCCATTTTCCTCTTTCTCCCTAATTATAACTATTAAACTATCAACAAAAGGTTTTGTTAGGTCATTTTAGTACAATAAGACGCCGATAGTGCATAAGCTGACTAAAAAGATTTTAAGTTAAGGATGCCATAGAAGATCACAAATAACATGCTACAATTTTCTACTTGACAACAAGGACTTGTATTCTAGAATGCATAAGACCAAAAATCATCAAAGCTCTAAAGAAAAGATATCATGAAATCAACCGAGTTTAATTATACCTGTGAACAAGGGGAGGACTGCATTCGTGGTGTAGGTGAGCAAGGAATTCCGCAGCTCCTATTGCAATCTTTAACCTCGTAATCCAATCCAGAGATTGTAAGCCGTCTTTCCCTGAACTTACAACTCTGTGCAACGAATTGGCCAAATCTCCATTTGGCATGTACTTGTAAACCAAAAACTTCTTAGTCTCATGCTCCAAGCAGTGCCCCAACAACGGGACTAGTCTCGTATGCGAAACCTTGCGGAAGAAATCCAATTCCATCATGTAAGAGTCGCTCTTTTGCGATCCTAAATCCACCCTTTTAATAACTACCGGTATCCCCCCTTCTAAAAAACCTTGGAACAAGTCTCCGGAGTGTCCGTGCTTGATGAGATTTGCTTCACTAAAGTCGTGAGTAAATAGTACAATCTGCTCGTAGGTAAATAACTCACCTAGACCAGTCAAGTAAATAGGTTCTTTAGGAAGCGAAGGGTTAACTTCTTGGACAGGACCCGAATTTGAACCGCCTCTTTGGTTAGCAACGCCCTTATTTTTCCATTTTAGGAACAGTACAAGAACCAATGCTAAAATCACAATGAACCCAACCCCACCAAATACTCCAACCAGTATGAATGTCAATCGGTTTTTGCTTCCTGAGTCTTGGTCTCCAAAATTATCAAAAGTCAAGCCCCTTTGAGTGTAAAACAATGAACAATCCTCTAACTTCCTCTGATTCCTCTGCGACTGCAGGCAATTTTTAGCAACACTAACATTGCCTCCACTTTCAGACACCACTCCTTGGAAATAGTTACCAGACAAATCAATGAAACGAAACTTCCCTAAAGAACTCAAGTTCCCATACAACAAGTTGTTTGAGAGATTGAAAACAGTATTAGAGAAACTAACATTTGAAGCCAAACTTGGCAAATCTCCTGTAAAGTTATTGCTCGAAACATCGAGAAACCGCAAATTAGGAATTGACCAAAAAATACCAGGAAGAGAACCATCAAGTTTATTCCCGCTCAGAACAACAATTTGCAGCTGAGAAAAGCTCGAAAACAAACCCTCCGGCAACGGACCTTCCAGAGAGTTAATACCAACATCAATACTCGTCAAATTCCTCAAGCGTTTTAGCTCCAAAGGCAACGACCCAGACAAAAAATTCTTACTAAGATTAAGCCCGACCAGCTGAGAAAGCTCACTCAACTGAACGGGAATAGACACAGTAAGGCTATTATCAGAAAGACTCAAATTTTGAAGTTTGGAGAGATTACCTAAGCCCGGCGGAATCTGCCCAGACAAGAAGTTGGAAGAAAGGTCCAGAATTTTGAGATTCCCGAGAGACGAAAACTCGGAAGGTATCGACCCAGTGAGAGAATTTCTAGAAAGATCGAGAACCGAAAGCTCCGGTAATTGTCCCAAAGACGAAGGGACACCGCCGGAGAGATCATTGCCGGAGAGATATAGACACCGGAGTCGGGTCAACCCGCTGATAGACGAAGGGATTGGGCCGAGAATCGAGGCGGAACGGAGGTCGAGAAGTTTGAGAGAAACAAGGCGTTGCCCGAACCAGTCGGGTATGGACCCGGGAAGATAGAACCCGGAAGCGTTGAAACGGGTCAGGCGGGTCAGGTTGGCTAAGGAATCGACGGCGAATTGGGGTTGTTTCCGACCGGCACGTGTCCGGCGGAGACCGGAGATTGTGAGCCCGACGACTCGGCCATTCCGGTCGCACTCGACGCCGGTCCACCGACACATGTCGGTCTTTATGGGCCAGTCTTTCCCCCTCAGGCCCAGAGACGACCGGAGGTCCAGTAGCGCCGCACGCTCATTGGCGGAGCCCGAAGTCACTCGCTGGGCTTCACCGCAGTGGATCAGAATCAGGAGGAGAAGAGGTATCGTGAAAAGAGCGCCGAGTTGAGCTTCCATGGTTTATGGTCTATAGAAGTTCATTTCATTTCATTTCTTCTTCTTCTTCTTCACTGCATGTTACGTGTTGCTAAGAAGGAAAAACGAGAAAAACGAATAACGATATGGTTAGAGAGAGAGAGAGAGAGAGAGAGAGAATGGAGGATATGGCACGCCGTTTGAAGAAGGAAGTAAGAGAGAGAGAAAGAGAGAGGTATTAATGAGGGAGAACAACAACCATGGCGAAATGCCTGAGGAAAGCAGTAAGAGGTCGCTTTCGAAGTCACCGGAGGTATTAAATGAACATGGAATTAGGAGGCTATTTCCCAGTACCACAATTATGGCTCTGTTTGTGTTTGTTGGTGTGTCCTTTGGGATTGGCTTTGGGTTTAACAATGGCTTTAAACTTTAAAGCCCCCCCCTTTTTTTTTTTTTTTTTCCAAATATTTTCTATACAGAGTAGTTCCGTTTATTTTGCTGATTCGAGTTTTTAATTTGAGTTAAGATATAATTTTATGTGAGAGTTTTTTTACTGTAATAAAAAAGTTAGATGTGATTGTTTGTGGGAGTTTTTTACTGTAGTAAAACTCAAATTTTAAACTCGAATCAGCGAAATGAACGGGGCCATAACGCTGACCTCCACTTGTTTTCTCTCTTTTGCTATGTTATTTAGGAGACGTTTGATTCATGGATTAAAATTATGTGATTAGAATTATTTTTAATTTATGTGTATTTTTTATGAAAGAAAATACTGTAACGAATCATGAACCTTAATTTAAATCATGATTTAAATTTTCTAACCAAACATCCCTTTATTTATTTATCACATGTAATGTGATGACTGGTATTCTCAAGTCTCTGGTACTGTTACGTCTATTTTTACATTTTTATAGCGTTTTTTAGGAGACATTTTTATAGCTTCTCAATTAACTATATGAGATCCATAAATCAGGCTTGAAGAATAAGTACTGATCTACTGTTTTTTTTAGGAATTAAAAGCCTTAATTTCATATTATCTGGGAGTAATAAATACAAACGGGAAAAAGAAAAAAGAAAATAATATTGCTATAATCATAGTTTTGCCAAATACTAATCTCGTCTCATCATAATTTCACAACCTAAAAGTGGACATGTAAAAGCTATCCAAAAGAATCAAAACTAGTTAGTTAAGCACATAAATGGACATGGTAATTCTAGTTTGGTTGAAATATTAGTGGGGGTCATGATTAAAAGTGATTTTTGCATTTTTTGTTTTGTTTTGTTTGTATTCCTAACGAAATTTCCAGGTTAGAGAGAACGTTTAGAGTAATAGCAAAACGAAGAAGAATGGAGGACAAAGGAAGGAATACTGTGAGAGTGGGCTACTAAGATCTCGTTCATTTCACCGATTCGAGTTTTTAATTTTAAGTTTTTACAGTAAAAAACTCTTAAAAAATATCACATATAACTTTTTTTACTATAGTGAAAAGCTCTAAAAAAATCACATTTTAGCTCGAATTAACAACTCAAATCTGCAAAATAAACGAAGCTGATGTTCCCATTCACTGTGAGTGATTAATCTATGACCCGTTTAGTTCGCTAATTTAAATTTTTAATTCGAGTTGAGATGTAATTTTATATAAAAAAATTTTACTGTAACAAAAAAAATTAAATATGACTATTTCTGAGAGTTTTTTACTATAATAAAATTTAAAATTTAAATTCAAATGAATGTATAAAAAAAATATTGTAATAATATTTTTAAATTTTAAAATTTTTATAAAAAAAATACTATAATAAAATTTTTTAAATTTAAATTTTTTACGTGAGAATATTTCATTTCAACTTTAAATAAGATGGTTTGAACCCCTCCAATCACACTCATCGTGTCATTGTCATGCAGACAATTCAAAGGGTGTACTGGCCACTGGGGTTTGAATTTTCCTTTCCTAAGCGGGCATTAGTTTAGGTATTATTTGGTATAAGGATTTTGAATTTAAAATCATAATTTTAATTTAAAAAGTAAAAAGTGGTATTAATTTAATTTATAGTATTTAATTTAAATAGTTTTAATTTAAAGTTAAAATTTTAATGTGATATTTTAAATTATGAATTATTTATAATTTTAAAATTATTCTCATTAATTTTAAGTAATTTAAACTCATAATTCTAATTTTAATTTTAAAATCATGATTTAAACTCAAAATTATAAATTATAATTATAATTCTAAAATTAAAACTAAAATCACCATGATCTAAATTTTTAGAACCAACGAACCCTTAATAGTTCCAACACAAGTGTTGATGGTTGATAGCTACTATTTGGGATTGAGAGAGTTCTAACCATACCTCATTTTGCAATCATAAGATTCCCTGTAAATAAAAGAAAATTCAGGCTCAAGATTTTTTTTATCCCTCTTATTGCTCAATATTTAATTTCTTTGTTTAATCCGCTTAAGATTAGCCGTTGTCACTTTCTCTCGTTTTCTACTTATTTCGCATTCAGATAAGGTGAAATAAATATTTTATTATACGATGCCAGCTTAATATACTAAATGATTATTTAACTAAATATATTCAGTGTATTTTATCGATTTGAGTTTAAAATTTAAATTTTATTATAATAAAATTTTTTTAAAAATAGTAACATTTAATTTTTTTACTACAGTAAAAAACTTTCACATAAAATTACATCTTAATTCAAATTAAAAACTCAAATCAGTGAATTAAATGGGAATCGGTCTTATTGTTTAATATTCTATTTCTTTGCCATCACACCACAAGACAATATGGAACCGAACAGAGGCAAGAAACCATTGTAGGCTTTGTAGCTAGACAAAGTACCAAGCAGAAAAACAGAGGAAAAGAACTCCGAGGAGGAACTAGCAAGAATGCTAATAGAATTAGATGGATCCTGCAAGCTTTAAAAAACGATCGTTGTTTCGAAAGTGGGTTTTTATCTAATCGATGTCTAATAATAGTAATTTATTTGCCAAATTAGGGCGCTAACCAAAAACACTCTTGGAGTTCAAAAAAACTCTAAAGGAAAATCCTATATAGATCTTTTTTTATTACTTCTATTAAATTTTAACAATATTAATTTATAAGTGGAAGCACTTTAGCACAATTGGACGTACTATTTTTAATGTGAACACTGGTAAATTATAATGTGAAAATGTAATCAAATGCCGACAAATAAAATTTGTTCTACTAATAAGGAAGAAAAAACGTGCTTTACCATGGATTTTTTGTCCCCTTTCTTTATAATCAGAAAACGATATCACAGATTTTGGAGTTTAAAATGGTGGTTCATGTCTTCCACGAAATAAAATACTGTGATACTAGCACTTCCAACGCTTTACAGATTCCCAATGCTTGATCCCAGATCGTCTTTGATGATCATGTTACTAAAGAACCATACAAATAACCTTTTCCTCATCCATATAAAACAATAGAATATACAAAAATATCGGGCAACTTCCTAGAAAATTCATCGCCCCATAAAAAGCTAAAAATAATTGTTCTGCGTGGGATATAATAAGGCCATGGAAAAGTTGCACACACCAAACAAAGATTGTTGGGAGCCAAACATTTATCTTTTTTTTTTTTTTTTTTTTTTTCTTCTAGTCAAAAGACCTAAATGTCGCTCCAAAAACACATCCTCCAATCCCAATGATATAATATGATAATTTCCATTAAAAAAGAACAAAAAAAGAAAAACCCCGTTGATATACATGATAGCATAGGGACTTGGGAGTGATACAAGGCATATGTAAATAGTGCACGTGACCCACACCAAGATTGCGATTTGTGAGTTGCGACTGACGTGCCAACTTTCCAAACGCGTTTATCTGACTAATTGCTTTATAAGTTTTTATTTTTTATTTTTTATTTTTTTCTTTTTCGTTGACGTAGACTTTCCATTATCAATAATTACACCTTTCTTTTCTAACCCCCCAATCATGTAACTTTGATGCGTTATATTGCATGAATTATTGGGACATATCGATTGCGATTTAGTAGATAGATGTTTCATTTCATTCGCATTTTTTTCTTCAAAGAAATAGAAAACTACAACGAGAAATAATGAAGTAACAAGAGACTATTAGCATGAAGGATTGAATGCTTTTAATTCCCCATTAATTCATCATAAATAAACTTATTTAATTACATACAAATGCAACCAAAAAAAATCTTGTTTTGTTGTTGATATTTTTTAGAATTTGATGTTTGACATGACACTAAGTAGGACAATGAAAAAAAGTTGACGTTTAATAAAGTTGGACGTAACTCAATTGGACTATCTTCTGTAAAGCCATGTAATGAGAAAAGAAAAAGAATACTTACGTGTCCAACTTTCAAACTTTGCAAGTAGGCGGCTGCCTCTGACACGGATTGGGTTAGAAAGTTGTTTTTTCACGTGGCTGTCTCTGATTGGTTCAAATAGCTATCTCTAATATCCAGTCTCCACGTCCGCAAACGCCGTTTGACTTGGTCCGTTTGTTCTTTTGCGCCAATGCAATTCTTGCATTATTGAAATCTTATGATTAAACTTTCCATACAAAAATAAATAAAAAATAAGTACGTTAACGTATTAATAAATCAATTTTTTTATTCATTAAATTTATTTAAAATCACGTAAAATTTTAAAAAACATAAATTTAATCTACTAATAAAGAATATCTTAAAAACAAAAAAGAAATTCATAATCATTGTATTATACATACATATTTTATAACTCCTCGCCACTTTATCGTCTAGAAAAAGGAATAGGGAGAGAGGGAAAAAAAAATCTAAAGTCCCCTGTTATAATTAAGAGTTTGTTTTGTGGAAGAAAAAAATGGAAAAACATGAACAGATTGAGGGATCAGTAAAAAGGACTTGGCTTTTGAAAACTATTCTTATTTACTACAAAAAATTAGAGGATATAAATTGAATGAGAGATTTCCAATTCTTATAAAAAAGACAAAAAAAAAAAATAGTTATTTTAATATGAAATTAGGATGTTAAAACACACAAAAAAAAAATCCACTCTTTAGCCTTTATTTTCCTTACCTAGTTTATATGCATTTTTTTCATCCTATTTTCTCTCTCTCTTATTCCTTAACAACCAAGAACAAAAATTCACCAGAAAATCTCAACTATTTATTTTCTTTAACTTAATTTCGACTATTTCTCGTTCTCTTATAATAGTGAAAATTAACTGCACATTTGACCTCAGCAAACGAATGAAATCTACTGTTCACTTTTTTTATAGAATAAATATATACCGTTAATTAATTAATTAATTAATTATTTATAAAAAAAAAAAACTGGTTTCTAACTCATGTAGTTAATTTTTGCCATCGGTTTTAGGGATTTTCTCCTTTTGTTTTGAGGAAATGTATACT